TTCAAGAAATAATCCAAATTACTAAGAATTTAAAAAATGTGACTGGATAATTGCTACCATAAAAGGGGGTAGCTTAGACTCCCAGGGTAACTTAGACCACTTTTAGTTTTTTTAACAAAAACCCCCAAAACTCAAAAACTATTTGACATAGAAAAATTTTGTCTGGTTGTGGGATTGAATGAAAGCTAAGTCTTCTGCTAAGATTTACTCTAACACTGAGACTAAGAGCGGCTAGAACCTGCTCAAGCCAAAGAACAGAAGCTAGAGAGAGATAGGAGAAGCAGGTGCTTGTTTGCAAGCAATTTTATGAACTTGTCATTCAAGGCAATTTTAAGACTCGCAAGGAAGACTCGAGGAAGACTCGCAGGCAATTTTATGAACATGTCATTCAACAACATTCGCAAGAATTTAGCCTCTTGCACAGCGGATGTCATTGCTACTTCTAATACAAGCATTAGTAGCAAAGACATTGCTTCTAATACAAGCTCAATGTAGTGATTAGATGGATCAAAATTGGGATCAATTGTTAAAAATTTGTTCCTATCTGTAATTATGTGGGATGTTGCTCCTGTGTTTACTGACAACATGGTTTTGCCTTCAGTACACTTATTAACTAATAACTATATTCACATCACTGACACTTTCATTGCAAAATGTCCATCTGTTGCTGTGGAAATGGTGGCATCTTCATCCATTTGTGTATTAGGGGCACCTTACATTTTCCTTAGCTTCCAACATTATTTGACAGCATGATTGTTCATCTTGCAGTAGTTGCACCACTTGTTATAGGTATTCTTTTCTTCTGCACTGAAATTGCCAGTGGCAATTTTCTCCACAACTGTAGCACTTCAGGTTTGAGTTTGTTTTCTTGTCCTATGTTGCAAAGATTTTATCATCTTTGCATTCCTCCTGCATATTTTCTTCAAAAGATTTCAATGACTGTTTGAATTGATTGAAAGGGACAGGTTCTTTACTCTGGTAAATCACAGATTTAAAGAAAATATAACTTGGTGGTAATCCCCTAAGGGCCAGGGACACAAGGAGGCCATCAGAGACTGTCTCACCGGCATTCTGGAGTGCTGAAGCAGCTTTCTCAGCTTTGATGATGTAGTCAATCACTGACTCATTCTCTTCTTTCTTCAGCATTACCAGTCGATTATAGTTCTCTATTATTCTAGGGTATGTCTTCCCCATGTAGCGTTCTTGCAGGATTTTAAGGCTTTTCCGCCCATCATTCACGGCAAATAAGTGATAGGCTCTTCTCCTCTAGTCTCTGCGTCTCGTCCAGTCTCCAGTCTGTTCATTTTGTCCCCACTGTTAGCTGCTGAGCTCGTGGTGGACTCATTAGTGTTGCTTTAATTTTCATCTTGTTCCAACGCCTCATCCAAACCATTAGGTGGGCGTTCCATCCAAACCAGCTTAAGGTGGGTTAGGAATTTAATTTCCCACAACTTGTATTTGATGTCAATATCAAGTTCACAGGTATGCTGGGCCCATAACCTGTTGAGCTTTTACTGTGCAATGGCATGATAGTATAACGGTTGTGGGATTGAATGAAAGCAAAGTCTTCTGCTAAGGTTTACTTTAACACCAAGACTAAGAGTGCCTAGAACCTGCTCAAGCCAAATACAAGAAGCTAGAGAGCGATAGAAGCAGGTGCTTCCTCTTACATGGAAATAAGGCAAGGGACATAAGTTACGCTAGAATCTGACAACTTGCAGTACATGTTGCAGATAGATGATACGTTTATTCTAACACTTAGAAATTATTGGATGAGATGGTATATTTTTTTTATTTTTAGATGGCATATTTGGAAATTTTGAGATTTTTAAGATGACATAGTTAGAAATTTTAACTGTTCCGGGGAGCCAAATAAGTAAAATTTATAAAAAAAGAAGAAAATGCTTTAAAAATTGCATGCTACTGCAGCCCCAGCTTTCCCATTGCCAATTACTTGTATTGAAGATCCCATAGAGCATCTTTAGACTAATTCTTGTCCAGTTTAATGTGAGTAATAAGCTATATGTTGTGATTTATCTAACAAATATATACATATTTCCATAAAATGATCATTTATGAAAGTTCAAAATAGCCTAACGCAAGAAGTCTTGCATGTACATCCTTGCTTTATTGAATGCATCTTGTTTGTAGCTTCCAAAAAAGTTTAGCACTTTTGCAATTAACTTGAATAATCTACAAATGCCATTTTTAAAACAAAAACTGTTGAAAATTGTTATAAAATGGTCATTTTATACAAGTTCTAAACAGTTTTACTCAAAAAATATTGTATATACATCCATGGTTGTTGCTTTGTTGAACACGTCATGTTTGTAGCCTTCAAACGAGGGCAAACAGTTAACAATTATTGTAAATAATGATCTATAAAAATATTTAATTAAAGAAATTTGTATAAAAAATAGTTATAAAATGTAAATTTTATACAAGTTTAAAACGGCCTCACAAAAGAACCATGAAAGCTACCCCATCGCAGTTTGTTGCAGCCGCTCTGTAATAATTTGTCCTGCAAATTGAGATGAAAACATAGAAAACATATTTCCTTTGTTATTTTATCAAAACTTCCCCTTAAGCAAAATACAATTTACCTGACCTAGAAATAAGATAAATGTTACTATGAGCTGAATTCACTAACATCAAATGAAAATGTTCTCATTTATATCTTTAGGTTAAAACTAGCTATTTTGACATAGTATACACAGCTATATAGTTCACAGTAGCGGAATATTTTTTTTGTTTGAATGATGAATTAATGGCAGTAAACAATTAATAATAGCTCTTGAAATTTCTCTATGTCTGCAAAATTGATGTACTCATGGCCAAAAGTTTCCTTTTGTGGCTTTGAAAGTAAACATTTCCCATACCTGCTCATTTAGCATGTGGCTAAATGGTAGCCAAGGCATATACAGAGCTTGCAGAGGTTTCAGCATCAATTACTACACAGATTCCAGGCTGCAGATTTCATGCAAAGCAATCGGGGACTAATTTTTATAAAACTTCTAATATGTCTGAGAATTGTTTAGGTAATTCTTGGCTACTAGCTCATCCAATAAAAAAATAATGCACCTGTTTGTTTCATTGAGAAATAACAAAAAACATGTGTTGCCATAAATATGGCGGACCCTGTATATCAATTACCTACCATATTTATCAGGTAGAAATTTATCCACTTAATATGGCTTCAGCCTACAGTGACAGATGCAACTAGACAAGCAGCAGTTCTTGCATCCTGGGTGGGAATCTATGGGGGTGAATATGTGAACTAGTGAGAATGCAAATTCTGTCACCAGCAATGAAATTTGATGTATCAGAGATCCCTGCTTGCTTTCCATAACCACAATAAGGAGAGATGACTAATCAAATTTACAAATTTGCAACACCAAACATGACCATAGGTCAGGAGGATCACTAACCCTATTTGTGGAAGCATTGTGTATAAGATGGCTCACCATGGTTGAATTGATGAAAATAATTATGAAGAATTGACCTGAACTGCAATAGAATCTTTAGGCAGTGGAATCCTCTGGACATTTTGGGACAGAAATTTAGGTTCAAAGCTATTTGAAGAATTTTGAAAATCCCTTACAATTTTCATTACTTTTCATTAAACTTCTTAAGTAGTAAGCAGATGTGGAAATATGCAGAAATTCGAATTTACAAGGCTAATGCAAGAAAGTATGATCATTTCAAAGGTATATTTACTTGTGTAAATATACCTCATGTGCATTTTCCAAAATTTTGTAAATTAAAAAGATAAAATCCCTGTTAGTGATTCTCAAATATACTCACTATACTAAAAAATATGTATACTTTTGTACTTGCCTAAAATTAAACATGCAAATGAAATGGATAGCTTGTTTCAATCTGATGCTATGTTACAATACTGATGTAAATTGAAGAGAAATTGCTTCTTCAGTGATAAAATACATAAATGATAAGATAACATCAAATTTGACGCCTGTGCTACAACTCTTATAATTCCTGAAAAAAAGTGTGAACAGTGAGATTTTGGTAAAGTACTTCTTCTAAGGTCTGTAGCAAAAGAACATTTCCTTTTGCTAAAAAGTTGCACTCAGGTGTTAGCTTGAAAACTTGATTGCCAGTATTTGCATAACTCAATCCAAAAAAAGGCTGCTATTTCTGCAAGACAGGGGGCAAGACTCTTAGCTCCCCGCCTGCCGAGGTAATAAGGGACGCCCCTAAAAATGCATTTACAGTAGAACTTTGCTTAGCAAAGGCTCCAGTTAAAAAAAAAGGATTAACAACAAAGAATTTTGATTACATTTACCACTCTGCATGCTTCAAATGTTTTAAAACTATATTTTTGCAAGTATTCCAAATTACCCCATTTCCAGGGGTGATTTGGGACTTTTATTTTGCATCTGGCACCTTACAAATAGCATATAAAAATTTTTAGAGATCCCATATGATAGCCCTCACAAAGACCTTTAAAATGAGCCTAAATTTGTTTATGAAATATTTCATGGTAAGAAGTTATTAACAAAAAACGCTCAAAATCATCCCTTATTTCCCCGTTAGATGGTATGATGCAAACCAATCATTGCCAGTAATTTAATGTGCATTAGTAATAATGGAAAATTTTTAGTGTGCATTATTATTTAATTTTTCAATAAAATCAGGGTAGTGATGTACCTCTTAAGATACCAAATGAATTTTTTTTATATAGTTGCAACTCAAACTCTAAGCTATTTTCCAGCTGCATCTCCTTTATGATATGTGACCTCTGCACTGAGGCCGAAACTAATAATAATACCTCTTTATTGCTGTATGCATGAGAACCTAGTGTGAAAAACATATCGGATAATTGTTAAAATTTCTCCACAATCAATAGGTTGACTTAAGATGCTGTCTGAAATTGGTCCACTTGCTGTAAGCGACCCATTTAATAAAATGAGATTATAGGTTCAGAAAAATGTAAAGGCTGAGCTGCAGAGTAGCCCTAATTAACTCCTGGTACTATGGCATCAACCATAACAGCAGTGATAAGGAAGACTTAATCACTAAAACTTCAAATACTGAGCCTGATAAAGAGCCTGTGTCATCAGTTAAATTGCTCATAGTGCTGCACAAGATATCGGCTGCGGACGTTGATCAGTTGTGTGCTGAACATGACATCAGTCCACATTCAGCTGAGAGCTGCAAACAGATGTTGCATCCAAAGGAGTCCAGTGAATTACCAGGTACATAGCTTGGAAATATTTCAACATTTATGTTTATTGTGTGTATCATTTGCTATCATGGCTGTTACAATGTTACTTAACATTGCCTAATTCTGCCAAATTTGTTTATCTCTGTGATGTCAATTTTATAAATGGGAACCATAATGATAATTCCTCTTGCTATGATTCTTAACTTATATTTATTATATTTTAACTTTTATTTCTCCACTACTCCAGCTATCCATAAGCAGAAGTCTCTTCACGGAGCTGAAGCAGGACAACCAAAGCCAAGTAGGATGTGTCAGCTCCAGGGAGTTGAGAATGAAGATTCATCTCCCATGGATAGAAATTTGGTAAGGGGAATTTTTAAAATGTACAACCTTAACTTTCTAAGAATATTATGAGGATCTCGTGTGTGATGTTATTTATATTATATACCGGTACAAGAATTCTAAGGTCTGATAAGGTTAGACAGGTGCAGCTACTATTTTGTACTGTTACTTGATATAAAATACTAACTCTTTGTGAAGATATTTACTGTGCAAATTGATACCCTTATTCAATTATGTATCAAATCTGGCTATGATCAAATTCAATAGTCAAACTTGAATCAAAGTGACTAATAGCAAACATTAATGCTTACAGAAAGATTAATACAATGATTGCAGTGTTAGGTTAGGAGAGTCATAGTCAATACTCAATGGGAGAGTTATAGTCTGATGGATGAACAAGAAAGATGGATGATGCAAGATGGATGAACAAGAAAGATGAATTATTAAGGGGAGCATCTAGGTCTTTTTGTAACTAAGTTATTTACAGATGGATCATTTCGAAATTTGTTACACGTATGTAGTACAGAAATCTAAGACTTTTTTGTTGACGTAAATTTAAAAAAAATGGAAGAAAACATGAAATTTTCCAAAAAAGGGGGTACTGTAGAAATCTATCTTGTCCTAGGATTTTCAAGCTACAATATCGAGACACACATCATTCGATGCGTAAAGACCATATCTATAAGATGATGTTGGCATTTTTTGAAATTTTCATTTCTGTGTGTGTGGGGGCATTTTTTGTAAATTTTTTGGAAATTTTTAGATTTTACCCCTGCCACCCCCACTTTTTGCAGAATAAAACCCAAACTATAATGAAATTAGAAAAACGCCAAAATCACTTTGTAGATCTCCTCTTTGCAAATCGAATGGTGTATGTCTCATTGTTGTAGTTTAAAAACTCTAGAAGGAGATAGTTTTCCAGTGTCAATAAGTGTGAATGTTTAGTAGAGTGCGACAAAGTCCCATGCGCCTCAAAATAGCCCTTCAAGGTTGCAAGGAGGCAAGATTAGATGATACTGTCACTATTTCTGTCAAGGCTGGTGTGAACGACTGCATGAGAACCATCCAGCACAACTGCAGCCAGGTCACTAAAGCGGAGCGTGTTCAGACTGGCTATTTAAGTGCACTGCTGGCAATTATTCCCTATGTCTAATGTTAAAGAACTCCACCACCCTAACCCTTTTGAGATCTGTCGTGAATGCAGAAATCAACATACATAGATGGTTTTGGTACCGTTGGATAGGTCAGAATGTCAGCTTTAAGATGAGACTAAAAACCAGAAAAGTCAAAATTGTCGATTTTGGATCCAGACGCTCCCCTTAAATGGACAATAAGAATCTTTAGTATTTTTACAACACTTCTCTTTAACTTCACTTCTTGTTGTTTGTTTGTCTGTCTGCTACAAATTTTAAAGTCAATATTCAACACACTTCCACCTGTGCAGTCAATCTGACATTTTGCACACTTGTGTAAAGTTGAAAACCATGCATGAATCAATTGACAGAATAAATAATTTTGAAAATTAAAAATTTTTTATGCAATATTAAAAAATTGAAATAATTTTGTTTGCTTCAAATCTTGTAATCAATATTTGACACACTTCTACCTGTTCAATCGATCTGAAATATTGCACACTTGCGTAAAGTTGGAGACAATGCCTGAATCAATTGACGGAGTGAATAATTTTAAAAATTGAAAAAAAGTCAATATTAAAAATAATTTTGTCTGCCACTAATCTTATAATCAATATTTGGCACACTTCTACCTGTCCAATCGATCTGAAATTTTGCACACTCATAAAATTGGAGACAATACATGAATCAATTGATGGAGTGAATAATTTAGAAATTAAAAAAATTTCAATATTAAAAAAAATTAAAAACAATTTTTTGAATTATGGAAGAATGATATACTCCAGGCTTAGATGTAATTCAAGAAGTACAAAATTACAAGTGAATAATGAGCTGTTGTGAAATTGTTCTGCTCCTTACAGCTCAATGAATTTTCCCACCCTACTCATTACTTTTGGAGTGAACTTACCATAATATTTTTAGATCTGTGTGAGAGTTGCATTTCAGACTTCTTTGCTTGAAGATTGCTCTTACCAAAGAGTACATGTAAGTGAAATATATTGTTTATGCTAATTATTTCTTAGCTTACATTACATTTCATCCCCTCTTTAAGCTTGGGAATGCCTGCTCATAAGGATGAATAACCTTTACTGGAGTATAAACTATTTTAATTTATAACTTTAACTTATAATTATGTTTGGTTGCAGTATTTTTGTGCAAAACTGGTAGACCCACTTCTGTGAAATTTCTGTCGAATTTTCTCAACTTGGCCATGAATTTCTTATTTTGGGAGAATTGAAATCTTCCTCACATTTTGTGTTATGATAAAACTGGTAGAAAAGTCATTTATATTCAACAACACTCAATTCTGTTTCTGTGTAATAACCAAAAATTGTTTGTGGTTAATAAATATTGAGCAAAAATTTTTTAACGTGAAATGCAAAGAGAAGCCAAATTCAGTAAAATTGAAAGTTATGTCAACATTGAAAAGAACCCTTAGACCTGACACTGATTTTGAACATTGATGAATTTTCACAGCTTATTGCTGTCTCAAAAATGCAATTCACTACTCCATTTCTGCTGTGCTTAACTGCCTGGCACCCTTGCCAATTCTGACCAGAAGGGTTGCAGGTAGCTGGGATTGAACCCACAACTCACTGCTCCCAAGTAACCACTCTGAAATGTAAACATCGGATCATTCTTTAGGAAGGTATCTGAGATTAGAGAAATTGTTCTACATTATTGAAAGCTCAGCTTATTTGGAACCAATGCCAAAGGCTTCATTCAGCACTGACAATTAAATGCAAGTGTTCACTATTCATTTGAAGTAATTTCAGTCTCAGCTTAACATTGTTTGTACATGGGCAGGCCGTGATTAGTCCCACTACTTCAACTGTTGATTTAAAGACGAAGCGACGTCCATCATTGAAAAGTGGTGTGTTTAAGGCAGCATCTGATAAGACTGTGGTGCCATCTTCACATCACAAAACTGATGTGCGCAAAGTGGCCAGTAGAACCTCGGGGACTTCTCTGCACACATCAACTCTACACTCAAAATTGAGGCCTCGGAACTATTCTCATTGCAGGTTGTCTGCCAGTCAGAAATGTAGTCTTTTTCAGCCCTCGGCTTGTGTTGAGAAAATGAAGCCTCTCAACTGTAATGGTTGCTCCCATGCTAACTGTAATAAATTGAAGCGTCATAAGTGCTCATTTTGCACCTATGCAACCAGTATTAAAGGTAATCTAACTCAACATGTTGCTGGTGTTCACAAGAATTTAAAGCCTCATAAATGTAACATCTGCGGCTACTCAAGCAGTCGGAAAAGTGATCTAACTCGACATGTTGCTGCTGTTCACAAGAATTTGAAGAAACATAAGTGAAACATCTGCTGCTTGAGTAGCTGCAGATCTCGGAATAGTGATCCAACTCAACATGTTGCTGCAGTCTTAAGAGTTTCTATGCATTATTGTTGTATCATTGGAATAGAGGAATATCTCCAATGTTACTCTACAAGTTCAAGTCGATCAGATCCATAGCAAGCTTACTACTTATTCTCTGTGAACCAACCCCAGCTTGTTATCATTTAGGACTGTCATGTTCAGTGTTTGACAGTTATATTTCTTGATTGAATTGGTGTGTATCACAGTAATCATTGGTGACCATGCAATATATTATTTTTTTGCCACATTTTTGATGTTGCATTTTCTTTTTAATAAAGTAGCCATTAAAGATAACGAAGTAAGAAATTTAATTGCATCTTAAGTTCATCTTCTATTTGTTTAATATACTTTGATGGAGATACCAAATGAGTGATGTTTTATATGATTTCTGCAGACTTGAATGACAGCGTTGTTTGGTGCATGTCATGACATGTCATCAAATTTCTTCATTCATAAATGTCAGATGCTTGTGTTCAATGTTGATAAGTTTTAGCATTTCATAATGGTCAGGGATATGATCAAAATGCAACCCGGCAGATTTAAAGTATATGCTCAACAGAAACTTGCAAATATTTTCTAGAAGAATTGCTTCTTTAGAATAGAATAGTTACTACTGTAACAATAGGTTGATGTCATTTTCACTCTATTTCATGGAAATCCTACCTAGATCNAGGCGTAGCGTCTGAAAGACCTAACCCCATCCTAGGGCCACAAAACTGCACGAATTCATTTAACAGTATTGCGAGCCGTCGCGACATACTCCCATCAATGGTAAAGATAAGCCACACTCAAAAACCGTTTATTTACTAGAGACTAAATTACAAGATCACTTATTCCTACATCATAACACGCAAAACAGTGAGAATTGGTAAGGAAACGTGTTCTGTTAAGTCAGAATTGAAACTTTCCTATGGGTAGAACAAAATTCGGTAAAACAAATGAATCCTATTACATGTCGCATATAAGTAGCATATATGATTCAGCTCAATAGAAGATGTGGCCATAAACATTGACCGGTCCTTACCTCGCTGCGCCGCCGCCACGTATAAACGAAGTACGAACAATGCCGGTTGAGTGTTGACGCTACAGCAAAGTCACGTCTGTGTGTAGGTCTAACGCTAAAAGCACTACCGTTATTACACAGGCGTGCGTTACATAGCCCTCAACCATGTGTAGCCTTATAGGTACAATTAACCTACTTTGTATAAACATCCTAGTCGGCACTATAGCTGTCTCTTATACACATCTAGATGTGTATAAGAGACAGGTCTCCGACTTTACGCAAGTGTGCAAAATTTTAGATCAATTGGACAGGTAGAAGTGTGTTAAATATTGATTATAAGATTTGTAGCAGACAGACAAACAAACAAACAGACAAGAAGTGAAGTTAAAGAGAAGTGTTGTAAAAAGACCATCACTGCTCTAAGTGTGATGATATGTATTTCGAAAATGCATGTTTGAACAGCATCTGCTATCCAGAGGTCATCAGAAAATGCCTCAGTAACCCAAGTGAGAGGATGCATGTGAATGTAGGAAGCTTGACCCAGGAATCAAGTGCAGAACATTCTATCTATTGAGACAACAGGACCAAGCTATGGAGAGTACCTAACCCAAAGCAGTCACTGCCTGCAAGGATGAGGGCTTAGCTGTTCAATTCCCGTCATAGGAGGCTGTTGCTTGGGAGGGCTTGGATATGAAAGAGAACGACAAAGGCTCTTGCTTGTTGGGTCCTAAATGTTACTTCATTGGGATCTCCACAACACTTTTTCATGGAGTCTCCATGAGGGGCTGGAAGCCATCAGCGTTGTGAGAGTGGCAGTCAGGCTGATGGGAGTAACTGTGTTACCCCCAGCAATGGTTACTATCCTCACTGACGATTTTCTGATAGCAGAATTTACCCTGGTATAGTTGTACAAATGATTGATTATGCTAGTAGTTCATACACCTTTCGTGACTCGTGATGTCATTGATTCATTTAATTTCATATCTTCTGCTGGTGTCAACATTTATTTTGTGCTCTTGGTGGCAGATTTTACTAAATATGATTAGTTTATGCTAAACTAGCCCTGAAGTAATGATGTAAATTTTTATAATACGTGATGCTACTTCTATATTAATTTTATTTATTATCAGATGGTCATGAACGAGATTGTGTCCAACCCTTTAATTGAGCAGTAGTCCTCCTGCTGCACTCACGACCAATACATTTGTTGCCGTATGGATGATTGCATTTACGGTTTACCTGTTGCTGAAACAGGGTGTTTGTTTCTTGATCGTGTTCAACCGTTCAAGTCTTGCTTTTGTGGCAGCTTAATAAGGCATGCATAGCTGCTTGACTGTGTAGGAGCTTGATCCAGACTATGTAGGAGATTGATCCGGAGTATGTATGTATCAGCTAAACCTAACATTGCCTGGCTTAGACATTCTTCAAAGTTAGAGAAAACTGCTATCCCTTATCCCGCCACATAAAATCTCAAGAATTCTGTTGCTGATATTATCAAAAGAGTGTTGTATGCAAGTAATATGTTGGTTATACGGTACTATTCAATGAAAATTAATACAAAGATATTCAGGCAGTAGGAGTGTCTGTGGACTGGCTTATGGTCTGTTATCTCTACATTTGTCATGGACTTGAATAAAACTTAACATTAATTAAATAGACCATTTGTTGAAGTTGACTTCTAACACCTTGTGTGGCACATGATGTTTTCATATGTTTTTTTCTATATAGCATGTGAAAGTCTCTTGGGTGGATCAAAATAAAAATATTCAAATTTGGAGATTTTTTATTCATAATATAGATGCTGCATTTCTTGTAAACTAAGGAAATATTCCATATGTTGCACCAAGAAGTTGGGAAGCACAACATTGGTGATCTAATGAAATTCCATTTCCCTATGTCAAGAATGGAAAGCTTAACTATAAGGCAGTTGCAGGGATTTAGAACAATTTGTAAAAAGTTTTAATGTTTGACTGGATGTCTTTGATCCAAGTGGGTGAAAAATTACATTAGATCCACTTGAGCATGGCATTGAATTTAAATAATAAACCTATATAGCAACAATTATAGTGACCAGTAAATTTAGGGAAACCTGTTTGGCCAACAAAATAATTTATATTGATTTGCACTGCCTTACTGGTTTGTTAGAGGATTCTCATCTATGCCAGGATATGATAGTGAGTTTGCATGGATGCGGGAATCTTTCTTTTAGTCGTTCTGCAAGGAAGTAGGTCATACATACCTACTAGGGGTCCTTGCAAACCCCCTTTCCTGCGGCAAAAATACATGATCAGTTAATGTGGGAGTATAACTCAAAATGGAAATTATTGTTCACTGCATAAAAATGAGTCATAGACCTAACCATGTATTCATTTAATGGTAGTGGAGTAGGTGCAGTCCTTAGGTTCATTAGATTATCTTCGCCCTTTCTGACTTGGTTAAAGCATCAAACTAATATATGGACAAGTCATTCAAGTTAAGTGGAACCCCATGGCTTGGTTCTGCACTGGTCTCTTTTTCCTTATATCATTCCAATGTACATACTATGTTCTTTCTGGTTGTGATATCTTCTTGATTTTTTATTAATAAAAGTACAATAAAATGTTGAATAGAAAGCTGTAGTAAGAAGGTTGTAGGGAAGATGGAGACCATCAGTGAGTCATTGTTTACCTGAACCCTATTGCAACTAACACCCTCAGTCATACCACCTGGCCAGCAATGCTTTTCACTTAGTGTCACATAACACAATATTCAAATGAAGACAAGATTTGTGCATCAAAGATTGTTGATGCATCTAGCAGACTAGCAAACAATTGTGTACCTAAGTAACTGAGAAAAAGTGAATTTTGTTACAAGTGTTGGAATTAAGGCCTTCTTATGAGCCTCTGTTGCACAATGTATAATTTTCTGTATCCCTCCAGTGTTATTTCCATTGCTGCTAACATGATCTGTTGAAAAACTTCAGCCTAATTTATTCATAATTCTCATCACATTTGGTGATGGCACCCATTACCAAGAAATGCAGTGTTGAGCTGCACCAACTCTCCGCTGCTGCAGTCAGGAGTGGCAGATGTCCTGAGCAGAGCCTCACTCAAGCGTCTCCTGGTGGCAGCAAAGTAAAGTCTGAAGGTTAGCAAGATCCCATGTGCCTCACTAATCAATAATGGCAAAGTAGAGACTTTTACAGACTTTTTCTTCCTGAGTGAATTGAGTCCTATTAGCATAATAGTAGAGTATCATGGATACCAGCATTACCACACATAGATATTGAAAATAATTTTAAGTAGATCAGGGAATTATAAACAAAATAATTTCTGCAAAATCTCATTTGTCACTATGCTGACTGATCACTTGTTATTATGGAGAGGAGGAATTGATGTTATGTCAAATTATCTTATTCAATTCTCATTTGTATTCATTCCTTACAAGTTTCAATACAGGATTTGATTACATTGTGTGGGAATATGCTGCCTCATTTGTCTCACTCATCTAGCTGATATTAACTTTTTGTCTAAAGCTCACATGATTCATTAATTTAGTGAGCATTATATTTACAATGAGATATCTTGATCCATGGCTTAGTGGTAACAGTACACCAGTGTACATATTTTCCAGCCTTAGAAATGGTTGACCCTCCACCAATTCTCAAAGTTCCTGCTATCTTCATCAAGGAGGAACCTGAGGATGAAACTGAAGAAGTATCCATCAAAGAGGAACCATTCTTATATGGAAATGAGGTAGGTGGAGTTGATGTAAAAATGCATGCTTAGGAAAGCTTTCCAAATTCCTGTGTAGATTTTTATGAAAAAATTGTCTGAATGATATTTCCATAATCAAATTGTCAAGTTAGGCATCAAGCGATAAATCTTAACCAAGTTTTAAGTTAGTCTAAAATATTAAGCAATAATAAATAGGTATAAAGCACCCACATTCTGATTCAATAATTAGGGAGAAGCTATGCAAAGTTGATTTATAATTACCTGCATTGTGTTTGGCATTCTAAACCCAAACTTCGTTTTTTCCTCACGTTAATTATATTGACTTCCATTTTAATATGTAAACAGGCAAATAGAACATTTGTATTATGATCCATTGATAATTAAGTGAAGACATTTTATATCTAGTTATTTGTGATGCTACCACATGCAAGAGCTG